AATCTCATGACAGCAAATTCGTCATCTGCTTGTAAGTAAAGGTTTGTTTTCACAAACCTTGTTGTCTGCTTGTTTGTTGTCTTAGTTTTCCTGTGATACGGACAAGAGATGGGTGCAAAATAAGTTTAAAGGATAAACGAGAAGCCATAGTTTTTGCCAAGATAGTGGGGTCATAGATGATGAGGGCTTTTTGTCTTTTGTTTGATGTTAATCAATCTAAAAATCCCGAGTTTCCCTACGAAGGCTACGGAACGTTTGACTTTACTGAAATGGATGACACCGAGTGCAAAGCGGAATTTCGTCTCAGAAAAGCTGACATTTCTGTGCTTGCCGGAGCTCTTGACATCCCTGAAACTTTAACCCACAAACAGGGATATGTGATTGATGACATAGAAGGTCTGTGCGTCTTGTTGCGAAGGCTTAGTTAACCGCGCAGATGCTCAGATTTAATTCCCCGTTTGGGCGGCTTGCACCAATACTAAGCATGATTTGTGGCTCGGTCACTGATCACATCTACACCATACACAGCCACCAATAACTGAATGCAACCACTGTTTTCTGGACCCAACCCCTCACCACGTATTCGGAAATGCAGTTTTTGTCAAAGGTGCTACCTTAATAAAAGGTCTTTATTAAGAATCATTGTGCAAACAGACGTGCAACAATTATCATGAATAGAATTAATAAGGGAAAAGGAAAGCATTAATTACTTAATTGATTACTGAGATAATTGTTTCGGGTTTGTGGATGGTACAGTGCCGAGACCAATCTGTCGGCCAGGGGAGATGCAAAGGATCGTTTGCAATGAGTACAAGCGTGTGCACGGTCTAAAATTCCTGTCTGTTTTTCTGCCAAACGGAATCATTGCAAATCTTTTTGGACCAGTAAGTAAGTACACTATTTAATTTGTTTGTAAGCCGTGATGAGGTATGTGGCCAGTGTATACATAGGAGACCAAATGTTTTTAATTGTCCCTGGGCTCTTGTGCCATCCAACACAGCTAATGAGTAGCAACAGTAGGAGGAGGGGGATTGCGCATTTATTAATAAATGTTTGGTTTGTTAAAAAGGAAAAAAAACAAAAAAAAAAAAACTAGATGATGATCCACGTTCCTTCCAGAACAGTGTTACATTCTTGATTTCTTTAGCATGAAAATAGTGCCAAGATTTAAGCCAGCTTACCTTAATCCCAGTTTATAACTCCATTTGCAAAATAATTTTTTTTAGCAGACCCAGGATGCCCTCATCGTGTGCACCCGTAGAGGCCATTTCAACGTGGAGTGATGACAAATAAGGTGCAGGAATTTAATAAATCCACGAATATCGCTCGCTCCTCTGTGGAGTGGATTTTTGGGGACATTATTAACTATCTCAAATTTTCAGATTTCAAGAAAGACTTGAAGTTGGGTCCGAGTTCTATTGGTAAAATGTAATTAGTGTGGGCCTTACTCAGCAATATAGCAACTTGCCTTTATGATCATGGTAACACAACTTCTGATTATACCCAATCGGTCCCTCCTTGTTTGCAAGATTACTTTGCTTTGTCTGCCGAAAAAAAGTCAGATTATTTTATTGTAGTAGCTTTTGTGCAGCAAGCCATATTTGTTTGCACGGTAAGTCTCAAAAGCCTGCTGCAGATTTCCTTTTAATCGTTTCTCAAGTACTTTTAATGATGTTAGAAAAGACGATTTCATTTTTCTCTAAAGAAAGTACAGGCACGTTTTCAGAAACAATTAAAAAAAATTAATTCTATCACAAGAAATGGAGATTTCATGGTTGATGTTACAACTTAATTAAAGAGTGTAACCCTGCTTGTGATGAGATCACGGAAAAACTACGACAGTAACAACANACTGAATTCATTTGTAAAGTGAATAAGGAAATAAGATTGCAAAATGGCCCAATATGTGCCTAATTAAGCTTTTTCATTTGTAACTTTTGAGCAAAATTCAATAGCCCTTTCCCTTGCCGCCTCAGAGAAAATCCTAAAAATATGAAAAAAAAAAGAAAGTATAATATGTATAGATATTAAAAGGGGAAAGGAGTTTCAGAGAGACTTGGCGAGGGTTGTATTTGACATTCGACTTGATTAACATTCGCCCTCCTTTGCTATTCTTATCTTTTATGTCAAAGAAAGAGTGCCCAAAGACGAAGATTTAGAGTGGCTGTCACAAGAGATCGCCGAAAGCTGGCAGCCACTTGGACGTCGCCTACAAATCGCGGAGGCAAAGCTTACAGCGTTTCACAAGGAAAATGAGGAATATTCTGAAAAAGCCTACAAAATGTTACTGCACTGGAAACAGAAGGAAGGACCAGCTGCAACATTTGAGGTCCTGTGTGATGCTTTGTGTCATCAGTTAGTAAAGCGAAGAGACTTAGCCAGTAGAATTTTAGAGTGGAATGAGTGAAATTACTTCCCAGGCCCTTATTTTTGAAGAGCCTTGTTAGAACTTCACCCACCACAAATTGCTCTTAGTATCGCACTTGAAATTGAATGCTTATCTCAACCCTCCACTTTTGCTACATTGGCAAGGCAAGCATTTAAGGTCATTAAACTAATGTCTTTCTTTTATTCGCATCCTTGGAGCAACGATAAAATTATCATTTTCAATAAATATATCAGGTGACTCACCACAATTTGCAAGAACCGTCCAACTTATCGTTGAAAGGATTCTTTGGGCTCAAAACCGACGTTCTCCTTTGAATCAGGCGGCAGCGCATCACTCTCAAATCTCCAGACCTAACATTTAAACCTAATAGGTTTCAAGACCGTTTCAGTTTCATATAGCCCAGAAGCAGTCGTTGCCCTGTTATTGGCTAACATTTCATTTTCTGGAAAATTGACCATGCATTTTGGCCCACACCCTCATTTCGGCTAGCTTGTTTCTGTTTATCTCTTGTGAGTTTTGCATTCAAGAGAACATGCGTGCAAAAAGTCAAACAAAAATTAAAAAAAAAAATGCAAACTGTCTCCATCTTTGCTCACAATTAGCCTCTAGTAAGAGAAAAAACGCGATGTATTTTTCCCCTCAAATATGTTTTTACCTGTGAGATGAATGAACTTATCCCTTTAACTCTCAGGAATTGATCGATCGGGTCATAACAGGTCAACAGTTGAGCACTTTAGCTCGCTTCGTGTCAAGGTAAATCTTACTAACATGGGCCCTTGCACAGACTCTCCCTTATTAGGAATATGTACGTTTTAGAGGAATTTGTTGTTAGTGACTTTGAGCCACACGAAAAAACAAAGTGCCCTCTTCAGTTCCAACAAAATGTTGGTAAAAATGACCCTTTTTAACTCGTCAATTGCGCGCATGCGCAAGAGCGAGTTGTAGCTATGATGTGATGAATGGCGCTTGCTCGCTTGATTGGTCGATTCCTGTATACTTTTTTCTATTTTAGGCTTTTGAATGCATTTGATAGTTTTTGGCGAGTGATA